GACTGCCACCCCCTGGACTGTAGCCCACCAGGCTCCTCTGTCTAGTGCCTCACGCTTCTAGAAAAACTCAACTAGAAAAGAGAGACCAGCCATCCCTGGAGCTGATGGAAGGTGGCAGGAGCAAGATGGCATGGACAGAGCACTGAACTTGGTTTCAGGAGACTTCAGATAAAATCCTTGCTAGGTTATTGACTCACTGTGTGGCTTGGGTCTCAACTGCCTCACCTGAAAAATGGGCTGATAACGTCTACCTTGTCTTACTGCCCGACTTCCCTGGTGGCTCAGAGAGCAAAGTGTCTGCCTACAATGCAGGAGACTCAGGTTCGATCTCTGGGTCAGGAAGATCTCCTGGAGAAGGAAATGGCAACCCACTCCAGTATTCTTGCCTGGAAAATCCCATGGATGGAAGAACCTGGTAGGCTACAGTTCATGGGGTTGCAGAGTCCGACATGACTGAGCAACTCCACTTTCACTTTATCTTATTGCCTAAGGCTCTCAAGAGGATCAAAGGCATCCAAATACGAATGTGCTCTGTACCCTGTAAAGCCCTGTGATCCGGTTAAGGATTTTTATACGAAGTGTGATGGAAGGACTCTGTTGTCATCAAAGTGCGATGGAGGGACTCATGATGGAGGTCTCTTGTAAGAGACCAAGAATGTCGGTCTCCATATGGTGGCAGCCCAGGACCTCACATCCTTGGATGGACTTGTTAGCAGCTGGTACTGGCAGTCAAATAAGGAGGTTCAGCCTGAGCCCTGAAATGCAATCCTGCAGAGGGAGGGGTCCATCCCAGCCCCAATCCCTCCCACAAAATGCCAAGGGAAAAAGCTTCAGGCCAAGCATTGGTTTGACACAAAGACTCGCATCAGAACCAGGAACTCATTTCCATATCTCCAAGATGAGAACCACCACATTCCTCGCAGGACTGTTGTGAGAAATGAGAGAACATGTAAAAACTCCGGTGCCTGGCCCAGAGTTGGTTCATGACGAATGACTACGTTCCCGGTGGCTCACACGGTTAAGAATCTGCCTGTGACGTGGGAGACCCAGTTTCAGTCTCTGGGTCAGGAAGATCCCCTGGAGAAGGGAATGGCAATCCACTCCAGTATCCTTGCCTGGAGAATTCATGAGCAGGAATTTTAACTCCATGGAGTAAAAAAGAGTCGGACACAACTGAGCGACTAACACTTATAAACTTCTTTACATAATTAATGGACAAGGATTGTTTGGTTCACCAAAACCTGTGCACAAACATTTGGAGGAGTGCTATTAAAGGTAAAAAATGATAAATATCATTTATTGCACCAATGTGCCAGGCACTCTGCTAGGCTACGTAATTCAGTTCATCCTCACAGCCAACCTTGGACATGAAGTACTGTTTTCCCCAGTTTCATAGAGAAGAAAATTTGGACTCAGAGAGATGACCCAGGTAATAAAGGGCAATTGGGATGAAAACCTGTATTTGTCTGACCACAAAGGCCTCAAAGACACAGGATTGAAGTAAGATGGTGGTATCACATTTCCAACCTAGCACCTTGCTTTCTTACCACTAAAAACACAAGACATTTCTCTAAATGTTGAGTAAAAAAAGTAGCCTAAGTGTAAATAGTCCAGGTAGAAGAGAAAACCTACATGGGTAACTCTTAAGTTCCATGCACTTGACACGTTTATTTTTATTTTTTGCCTGAGTCCTAGCTGCAACATGAGGGATCCAGTCATCCAACCAGGGATCAAACCCGGGCACCCTGCATTGGGAGCATCGAGTCTTAACCACTGGGCCACCAGGGAAGTCCCATGACATGTTTATTAACAATTCCATCTTATTTCAGCTTCATGAGGTATTACTTCAATCTTTGAGAAGAGGAAACTGAGGATCAGACAGACAGAATATAGACTCATGGGAGAGAAAGAAATCCAAGCCGCTTGTTTCGCCTGCTTTGTTCTCAGCCTCTGCAAAGGTTCAGTAAAACCCTGTCTAAAAGCTGTTAACTTCCCATGATGTAAGAACCACTTCACCTACATGCAATTGATGGGCCTTCCATCCATTTCCAGCAAGATATTCGGTTCAAGATCAGATAAAGGGGCTACTCCAGTGGTCCAGTGGTTAAGAATCTACTTCGCGATGCAGGGGACAGGGGTTCGATCCCTGGCTGAGGAACTAAGATCCTACAGGCCACAGGGCAACGAAGCCTGCACGCCTCAACTACTGACCCCTTGTGCTGCAACTAGAGAAGTCTACGCACCCCAACGAAAGCTTCTGCATGCTGCAACTAAGACCCAGCACAGCCAAATAAATACACAAATGTTGAAAAAGGTCGGGTTAGGGCTAGGGAGCCTGGTCTGAGTGCAGAGCCACACTACTCAGTCGCACACACCTCCAGCACGCCATCTCCAGCGGGCCCGTGATGACTACAGCCTCGGAAGAGGGTTCGGGAAGACTCCATTACAGCTGCTAAGGCAAAATCAGGTTCTGCACTTGAACCCTCCAGTCTCAGCCCCTTTCCCCTCCGTTTCTTCTCGGCCCACAGGGGCTGCCAGTGACCGTCCCTCACCCTTGGGAGGGGACCCTGGGAAGTCCCTTTCCATCTACCCTGAGGCTCCACTTCCAGTGCTCCTGGCTGAGCCCATCCTGTCACTGCCAACCAAGTTTCACTGGTGGTTTTCTGCCAAAGCTGCTCATGGAGAAAAGACAGTAAAGAAGGGGAGGGGGCATCTCCAGGCACAGGTGGCAGGTACTTCAGTGAGCTAGAGCCTCCTGAACTCACTGCTGGAAGAGGTTCCCAGTGTGATGCTAAGAAGAGTGAGCTAGGGACAGCAGGCCAGCCTGGGCCAACCTTGGTGTCAGGACACAGAAGGGCGGGGTGCAGACAGGAGCAGCCCAGACAGGGGAAAGGAGAGGGGACCTCAGGACAGCGAGGCCTTCCCTACAACCCTGCCTCAGAAAGTGAGGAGGAGACATTTATCATCTGCTGGATTCTAATACAGGCCCTTCGGGCTCGCACCTGAGAGCCCAGAGAGGGCAAATGAAGAGAACCAGGCAGACAGCGGGGGTCAGGCCTTTTGAGGATGCTGTCATGGGCACCCAGGAAGGTGAATTTTCTGATTTTTCAAAAGAAGTTGGACATCACGATGCACGTGGGGTGTCTCTGATAAACCCTCTCACAAGACAAAAACAAAACAGAAAGAAAAAGACACAAACAAGAAAAGGGTTGTCTGCTGTGGGGCACTATATTGGAAAAAATAATAATAATAAAGCACAAACTCAGATTCCAAAGTTCTGTATTTTTCAAAATAAAGATCACACATTGTTTAGAGACAATCTACACAAGAGTTACAAAAAATAGTTGCCCAGGCATAAGCATACACAGGTTTGTTAATTATACACATATGGTTACAAGTGTGCTTGCAAAAAAGTTCATTGGAAATATACACAAGGCTCTGGAAATGTACACCGTGTAGTGTTACAATTCTATATTCAAACAAGGAAAATTGACAGTATGTTACATTCACTTACAAGTAGACAAAATGCAAAATACAGTTCATCTTCTGTACAAAAAGGAAGGGCAATTCACACTTTACAAGGTGAGAGGGGCTCTGATTGTAAGGAAAGTTAGGGCAGGATTGAACTTTGCACGTCCTTTTGACTGTCACAAAATAAGCAAAACATTACTTTTTTAGGATTAAAAAAAAAAAAAAACCACTAGTGTGAACTGAATCATCTGGAATAACATTTAGAAAGGATCTCGCTACTATCTGACTAGGTGACAAATAAAACCAAGCTTTTTTTTTTTTCTTTTTAAAAGTTAACTAGGCTGTATAAAGAACATTTATTCCTTCAAAAGAAAAAAAAATTTACTTCTGGTTGAAATTACAATTTACAATATACAACACTATATGCTACGACCATAAAAGGTGTGAATATACACTGAATGCACAGGGCTGGCTAATTTTCTTTTCTTACCAAAAAACGTGTTTATGTTGATTCAAACTTCTCCACATTTACATTACAGGTATACAAATGTACAATTGTACAATCAAAAGTATGTTCGACTACTAGGGTACATTATAGATACAGATTAGACATCAAAACAAGAAAATACTACAAATTTGTATATATGCAAAGTCTACACCAAGTATACACTATATATTTATAGAAGCAAGACCAAAAGCAGAGTTGATTTTTTTTTTTTCTCATGCTAAATAATCAGATTTTTGCCTTTCAATGTTAACAGAAAAAAATCCAGTAGGCAGTAAACAATCATACCCGCCCGGCCTTGAAAGACAATCTGGGTGCTCACATCTCCTCCTCACGAAACGGACTACACTATTTTCTTCAGCATAATAGTCTCCAAAAAAGGCAATTTTTAGAAGTTTCATAAACTTAATGTCATAAACTGAGGCTTTTGCAACTCTGAAATGATTTTCTTTATATATATATATTTATATATATATATTTTTATAAACATTGTTAAATGCCAGTTTGGGGTCATTTAACTAAAATTCAGACTTCTCAGGTTTTTTTTTTGTTTGTTTTTGTTTTTTACTAAAATGAGGAAGTGGGGAAGAGCTATTTGCAAAACTTGCCAGTGAGGCAAATGAGTTAAAAACCTTTTTTCTTTTTTTTTTTTTTTAACTTTTTTGTTAAACCAACCACCCTGAAAGTTTCCACACGTGGAATATAGATACAACATTGAACAAAATATGTGGCCTCCCATGTACACTGGTTACCTATGTACAAGTATCCTATACACCAGTAAAACAACAGGGCAATTAGTCAATTAAAAAAAATAATTAGTACATGTTATGCGTAATAAAATGAAACAAATTTACAAAGGCTTTTCCACTTGTGGATTTGATTACTTTTTTGGGGAGGAGAGGGTATTCCTGGAGCAACCATTTACCCATTTTTGGATTCTACACTGGAACATTTCTGGTTGCTGGTTGGATTCACCAGTGGGCCAGTGAGGTCAGTGGGAATGAGGGCACGGGGTGACACTGCCTCAGATAATACCATTAGGGGGGCCACAGATGGGCCCTAAGTCAACGCCATTCTTCATGTAGTATTTCTCCAGCTTGGCCAGGATGTGCTTGCCGTAAGTGTACTTGCGAAGAGTCGCGATGTGGGGCCGGATCTGCGGAGAAAGCACAGTCTGTGTTACTCTGGCCTGCGACAGGCTCAGGAGGCTCCAGGCTAACTTGCTCCTGGACACCATGAGGTGCCTACAGGTACACACACCCCACAAGCAACATCTTTCACTAGCTCAGCCTGAGCACCTGAATACACGAGCTACACTGACCCAGCAGATGAGGAGGGCGGCTCCTGCCCTGAGCGCTGATGCAGGATGCAAGGGCTCTGGAGATGGGACAACCACAGACCACTTCCAGGACAGCGTGTGGAGACGGAGCACCCCGAGACATGACCACACCATCCACCGCGGGACGGCAGCCCGAGGGAGCCTCTTGGCCCATGGCTCTCCCGAGCAGCAGGGGCTGCTTCCTGGGGACCACGAACCCTGCGCGCATCACCTGACCCTGCTCTCCCATTCACAGCGAATCACAGAAAGCTACTAACGCTAACAATAAAAATGATGAACAAGAGCCAAGAACCATCCATTTTGAATCCTCTTAAGAGAGGTGTGATTATCCTCGCTTCACTGATGAAAACATGGAGGCACAATGGTTAAGTCACTCATCTAAAGTCAGACGGCTCCCCACTGTCTGGCCACTCCTCTCACAGCTCTGCTCCACCTCTCCAAGACACTCAGTCCCATGAGCATCTCTTCTGTACCCCCAACCCTGGGGCAGACCCACATCCACTAGTCCTGTGCATCCCACACAACTCGGCAGGTGCTTTCTCTCTGGAACCACCTTTCCTCGTTGGTGACCTCACAGAGCCTTCTACAACACACTGCGTTCACAATCATTTGTGGAACCACCAACATGCCACACACAGTGAAGACCCACAACACTGACCTGCTTCCCCATCACAGCTCCCCAGTTACTTACTCAACACAGGACAACATGCCAGGGAAGATGGACACTCTCAAGCCTGAGTGTTCCACGCAGACTGTTTTGCCTGTTTAGTTGTACCCTCAAAGCAAGGAAGGGTCAGGTGGCTCCAGAAACCACTTCTGTAACCCACACAGGACACAGACCCATATTAGCTTTATACTCTCACCTAGAGAGTAGGCTGGCTCAGCCTGGGAAACTATGCACAGTCCTTGGCTCGAACTCCGAGCTGTGGCACGCAGACCACTGCCTAACCATCCTAAATAAATGCACTTGCAGAAAGGGGACACTTCCATCTGGGTTGCAATCATGATGACAACCAGAGCTGAGGCTTTGGTCCTTAGTACTCGAGGCTCCAAACCCCTTGCTTTTGGCAGCTCTCCTTTTAAAAACTGAGTGAAATTCAATCCCTTCACCTGTCTGTCCCCAGGACTGGCTCACTGATGAGTCCAGCCACTTAACCTTTACATCTGTCCTATTCCAGACAAGACACTAACAATGTGCATATACAACACTGTTGAACTCCATCTTCCACTTGATTTAAAGGGAAATGGAAAGCAACCTGTTCCCCTCTCAATCCTCCCGCTTCCTGAAATGGGTATGCCTAGCTGTGAAAGAGCAGAAGTCTTAGGCTTTTCAGATTCTTAGGACTCCCCCTCCTCTCTCAACTCCCTCAATCAAACCAGCTGCAGAAGCCCCATTCTGTCCACTTCTCTTGATTCTCAAAACCGCCACTCACCTCTTGGCTTAGCTATTTCAACAACCCCCTAACCAGGCCTCACTGCCTCCTCTCCTCCAAGTTACTCACTGGCCAGGACCATGATTTGAAATGTAAATGTGATTCTGGCACCACAGTCCTGTCCCACTGAACTTGCTGTATTTCTCCATTTAAATACACTGTCTTGTCTCCTCTTTCAAGGCTTCACACACTAGGTTCCCTCCACCTGGAAAGGTTCAGGGCTTTATTCAAATGTTGCTCTCACAGGAAGCCTTCTCTGTACCCCCATATCAGAAGAGGCACCCCTCCACACTCTCACAGCCCTCCCCATTATTTCCCCAGCATCAGTGTAACTGTCTACAACACTGCTGGGCTTACCAACACAGTGTCCTGGTGAAAGAAGAGTTCACCGGAGAGCACGTGTGCTTTTAAGTATTTGGTAAATGAATGAACTTCCAATGTTCTGTGTGTCTCCAACACCCCCTCCACCTTCACCAGCATCTTGACAGGCCCATCTGAGTCTCACAGCTTAAGGACTCTGGACTCCCCAGCCCTCAGCTGCCATCGCCAACACCAGCACGGTGTTTGGTTCTGACCTGGAGGCGGTGGGGACCTTGTCTGGCTCAGAACTTGAGTCCATAGTAAAGATTCTCATTACCGAACTCTGTTCTCAGAGAGGGCAAGTGGCTCATCACTGCCAGACCACGGGCACCCCTCCATCGAGAACGGCTGGGTGAATTCAGAGCCCAAAGGCTGAGGGTTCAGACGGGCAGCACCCGAGGCACGAGGCACTGCCTCCCGCAGACACAGTGCGGCCCGCACGCCTGCCTGGGGGCTGGCTGGACTCCCCGGCCCCGTGGTCTGTGTGGGGCCGGCGGCACCTCCTCCACGACCGCTCTGAGGCCGTGAGCCTCCTCACGCGCTTTCTGGGTCAGCTCCCACTCACGGCACACAACGCCTCAGATTTCTGTCCCTTTCTCCCCTCTACCTCCTCTGTAGCCTGGACTTCTCCTACAAAGCCTCCCCTCAGAGGCGTGAGCTCAGGCGCTCACGTCGCCCTTCCCACATGTGCTCTGTGGGCAGTGCTCAGCCTCAGCCATCTCTGTGCTGGCGACTGGCACACGGTGGGCGCCAGATCAGCGTGCCAGACCAGGTGCGGCCTCAGGCAGGAGCTCGTTCAGCAAACGGTGGAATGAATGATGAGGGGGAGGAATGGAAATAAGGTAAGGCGGCTGATCTGCTAGACTGAGAAGCTGGTCTCCTGGGAGCCAACAGGTACAAGACTCGGAGGGGAATCCTCCACAAAGACTGAGTTTAACATTCATACCAGTGAGTTACTGATGGAGCGGCAGCAAGCACAGGGACAATGGTCACTCCAGATCAAAGGGACAAGAAGGCACGATCTAGTGACAAACTGCGCAAGAAGCAGCAAGAGGCCCACCCTCCTCTGCATTTCAGAACTGAGAAGAAGCGAGGCCAGCTCCTCCTCTCTGATGGAGACCCGCACAAACTGGCCTACCTTGTGCATGACAATCTTCCTCTGGGCTGGCTCTGCCACATCGATCATCTTCTGGACCACGTAGTTGGCGTACTGGTCCTTCATCATGGTGTATAAGGCACTGTGGGGACCGTCGTTCATGGTGCACACCTCGTCGATAAGCACAGCGCGCTCCGTACGGGAGGCGTGAGTGACACACTTCTCCACGACGTTGCTGTAAGGAGACAAATCCAGGGCCAGTCCTTAGAGGGGCCTCGTTTGACCGGGCTTATCTGGCCTGGGCTCTGACCTCAAGGTCAGCAGCAAATGAGACTTCTTGGAAGATTAATTCCTCATCTGTTTGGCTCTATAAGATCCTGTCTTTGCCATCTGTGACCTCCAATGTCGACCATAGCCAAGCCCAGGTCATGGAGGGTACCAGACCCAACCACCTAACAGGGGAGGGCAAACCCAGGTAAGTAAAGGTTCACAAGACTGGTTATGAGCTGAAATGGGTAATGAACATAATTTCAACAGGCATTAACATCTATCAATTCTCTCCTCACCTCTGTGAACTTAATGGGGTCAAGAACAAGTCTCTCTCACATCTAGATCCCTAGTGCCACGCACAGAACTGGGCACTTAAGACAGGCCCTACAGACTTGCTGAGTGAAGGCAGACACAAGGAGAAACCACAGTCGTCAGTCAACTACTTCACACTGTCTCTTAAGAACAAGAAGGACCCCCAGGTGTGTCCACATGTCTAAACACTTCACAGATATCTCAACCTCGGAAAGGAAAAAAAAGAAATGTGGTTACTTTAAATCAGTTCCTCTACAATCCAGAAGGACTGCAGATGCTGATTAAATCACACCCAGCCACATGCTAAAGGGCGCTCCTCACCCAGGAGTGATTGATTGCTCAAGAATGTTTGCTTCTGTAAGTCAGCAGTACTCTGCTTCTGTGCCTCCGTGGGTATTAGGAAGTTGTGTGATATCTAAGAATAAGAACAATACTTATTCTTTGTATTACTGGAGCCAATACTTGGCAGAGAGAACATTTGGTAAGTGGGAGGCTGAACACTCTGCAACGATTTCATGACTGGGGGAAGAGCTGCTCTGGATCACAGAACACTCAAGTAGAAAAGGAACTTTCAAATCTAGCTAATGCAGAAGGCTCTTTTCTGACCATTTTGCAAGATGCCCATTTAGCCTCTGCATGAGAATTTCCAATGATTTGGAAGCAATTCTGGGGCAACCGACCATGCAAATGAACGGTTCTCTTAAACATTCTTTATATACTAAAGTAAAAATGTGCTTTCCTGAAATTTCACCCATTTGTCTTAATTTTGCCTTCAGGGGCTGAAAAAAGGATGTCTATACCTATTCTAGGAACACCAGAAGGCAAGAGATAGTGTCTCACTCCTTCTTTCAAAGGCCAGCCCTATATAATTGAACAGTTATCACAAATAACCACCACCAAGTCCCTACTCCAGGTCCCTACACCAAGTCCCTACTTCGATTTTTAAATCGCAAGAGAGGGTGGTGGTTCCACACCACTCTGAAAGAACCCTCATGTTATCTGGTTTCGAATACTGAACCTTTATTATGTACGTGCTTTTATTTAGAAAACAAAATTCTCAAGCTAAAATGTTCAAGGTCTACTACTATCCTACCAGACATTTCTTCAATCTTTCTTCTTAAGACAAGAGTAAATCAAATCTGATAATCACAAAGAGCCTCTCCCTCCTGATAGAGCAGCAGTATTTAAGACCACAAAAGCCTCTCCCTTCTGACAGAGCAGCAGTATTCCCCTCACTTTTCCCCTCACTTCCTCCCACAGCACTCTGCAATTCTAGTATGAGCTGAAGGTGTGGCGTGTGGAAGTGCATCCCCTAATAGACACTGGCTTCTCCCTTAGCAGAAAAGGGAGTTAGGACATTACTAAGCCAGTCACAATATCCAAATGTTCAAGCAAAGAATCATCACTTTTTAGAACTGCCAGGCTGAGTTGCCCCTTCATCCACCCAAGACCAGAGTGGTCAGATTTAGAACAGAATTTTCTACTAAGCTAGGCTGGCAACAGGACACTCACTCTTCTGGGTGGAAGACTGACTCCTTGACAGTAACTTGTCTTTCAAGAAGGTCATCAGGGTCCTATCACACTTGATAGGATCACTCACTGATCAGGATCCCACCTGGCCAAAGCCGCCCTGCCACCTAAATACACAATCCACATTGTTCCAGTCTTTAAAGTTTATTCTAGTATTTCTGAAACTGTGGTTCTTAACCTGATTGTGGGTGATAAAATCAACTTAGTGATTTGAGACTAGCTTTTTTTGTTTTTTTTTTTTTAATGAAACAGAGTAGTCAGTATCAATTAATTATGGCACTCTTCAGTTATATGTGTATGCACATGCCTATGCATTCAAAGTTGATGAAAAATTTACTTTGTATTCTTGGTTACCATCAAAAATTCATAAGGTCACTAACCTGCTTAATTGGTTTGTTTCTATTCAATTTTCAAATTTACTGGCTCTTTTGTTAACTTTAATTTACTGTTAAAGCCATATAGTGAATTTTATTTCATATGTTATACTTTTCTATTCTAGAACTTCCCTATTATTCTTTCTGTAATAAAGCTTCTAATTCTCTACTAACATTCATCTTTTCATTTCACTATATGCACATTTTCCTTTACATTTTTGAGTATAATTTAAATACTTTATAATACTTTAAGTACCTTAAAATATAGTATTTTAAAATACCAATTACTTATATAAAATTTGTAAAATGTATAATTTATAAAATTATAAAAGTTATACTTTTATATAATTATACTTTTTATAATTTTAGTACAAATTTTTATTTTAATTTTTAAAATAATAGCTTTTATATAATTATAAAATTATATACTTTATAAAATGCTTTATAATCCTTCTCTGCTAACTCCAACATTTGGGTGGTATGGAACTATATTCACTGGGGATTTTTCCATTTTCATTTTTTCTTCTTGAGTATAGGTCACATTTTTCTGTTATCTAGACATGACAAATGATGCACTGTATACCCTGAGTTCTGTCATATTCCTAAGAGTATCACTCTCCTAACCCCTTTTTTGGGCACGTGGTATCTTTGCTGAAAGCAAACTGCAAACCTCCCCCCATGAAATAAGCAGCAGATGAAATCTCCACTAAATTCTTTCAGCCCTGGCAGGGTTGCCTCGAGTTCATCCTACACAGTGTGGGTCAGGAGTCAACTAGATACTTAGAAAGTTTAAATTTAGGCTTCCCCCTCCTTCCTGGTTCTCTTCCTTTCCAGAATTTCTCCCCTGTCACTCTGCCACTGCCTTCTTGGAACACCAGTGGTCTTCTATCCCAACTTAGCCTACAGACTAAAACTTTCCTAATTATAGTCAACAACACCTTTTATAAATTTCAAAGTTACTAAGAGACTAGATCTTTAATGGTTCTCAACAGAAAAATTATAATTATGTGACATGGTAACAGCTCAAGTTACTGTAGGAATATTAAAACATATAAATGTATCATACTAACAGGCTGTACACTTAAAACTTGCACAGTGTGACCTGTCAATTATGTATCTCCCCCACTCTCTCAAAACAGGAGGTGTGGGAGGAGGAGGGGGCGGGGGTGGAATTTTCCCAATGCAGTGAACCTTCTTTCAAGTATCAACAACCTCCTCTACTCACTTCTGGTTATCTCCGTGCTCCTGGTCACTATCTAATGTCTGCAGGTAGTTTTTGGCATTTTGTCAACAATTTATTAGTTGTTATACATGAGAGGGTTGGGCCCAAAATAGCTACTCACTTTTTATTAGACCACAACTGTAACACTTAACACTATACAAGGGTGAGACATTAAATACACTGAACAAGATAGTAAAGAGGACTGTGACCCCAAAAAGAGACATAAAGGTTCCGTCTTCTATTTTCCTGATCCTAGCAAATGTCCATAAAAACCAATACAAGGTCTAAGAGATGATCCTACTGTGGTTAGGGTGTTGAAACACTGGATCTGGGGTGCTTTTATTTCTCGTCTCTATTTTCCATGCTGTAACAAGATTTCACAAATTAAAAGTGAACAATTTAAAAACATCAAAGCTGTACGAGTCACACCTGCCCTGCAATTTACTTTAAAAACAAGAGAAGAAAAACATTCCAAAAAAATACAGAGAACTATGTTATGCGTAAGATACACACGCTACTCAGAAGATCATAGCACTAACCCACTGGAGGGCCATCAATTTCTTCTTCAATCTCTGCTACTTATAAGTTACCTAAAACATCTTTCACAACCTGGGAATAACATATACATTTAATTATTGGGCTGGTATGATATGAAGACTTTAAAAGAGATTTTGAAGAATATGAAGGCCTTATACAAAGATATGGTTACCTTCCTTTTAACTCCAGTATCAACGAGAAACTAAGTAAAGAACATTTCAAAATTCCAAAAAAGTAAATTCATGTAATACCCAGTTCACCAAAGTACAAAATTTATGTGCTTTAGAAACAAATTCCCCAGATTTCAAAGTGGCTCACTCTAGGGGAGTAAGAAGCCCACCAAGAGATGTCTTATGTTTCATATTTTGCAGTAAAACTCAATAACTATATATATATTACTTTAAGGAAAATAAACATTAAAAAGAAGAAAAAAAAGTACGACAATTTCTCTAGACCTGAAATACTATTTAATCATTTCTTCTGGAAAACAGTCTGTGTAATTTAAAGCACATACCTTGCAAATTTGTGCTGACTCAACACAAGTACATTGCCTCGAATTTCTGCTACAATTTTACTTTTATCCTCAGGACGACCATGCTCCAGTACATGCTGGATTACATAATTTCCATACTGATCCTGTTTCAAAAACAACAGAAAATTTTAAATTTATGTAAACAAGCTCTATGCTACCTAAATTCTGACATTAATCAACACCTATCTTCCTTTAACACTATGATGGCTTACCTGACTACTAAAGAACACATACGGAATTTTTTAAATGGATAGGTAGTGACAATTTTTCCCTATCATTACAAAACAGGAACACATCATTACTAGACAATGGAATGTTTCTATATATATTTATGCTGAAAGGTCCAGTCAGGGATTTCAAATAAAGAGCTATTTTTCTAACAAATGTACAAATGGGTCTCTGCACCTGTCTTTAACAAAGAAAAACTGGAAACACTGGCAACACCTAATTAAATAACACCAAAGCATACAATGGAGATACTCATCTTAAGTGAAAGGTGTGTTTAAAGATTAAGTGTGTGAGCAAGAATTCCAAAGACACAAATATTTATTTGTAACACATAAAAAATTAACTGCATACAAAGAATACTTTTTTAAAAAATTGCCCATGCCAAATGTGTCTGCTTCTGGACAGTAGGATTATGGAACATTTCTTGTGTTCTGCTGCTCCTTTCTGCACTTACAATTTTTTTTACAATGAATATTTAATACATTTATAATCTCACATCTCTGAGCGAAACAAGCAACAAGCACCACTCCAAAAATCGCTTTAAGACAACATACTACATGAAGAAAGTGTTTGAACAATAATATGGGAGAAAATTTTAGTAGAAGCAAGACAAATTTAAAAAACTACAGAAATCAACTAATCCATTTAGTTCACTTGAAAAGATGAAACTGACACACTACATGGCCTGCCTAAGTGGCCACAGCTAGCTTAATCCATGACAGGGTTCTGGCTTTTGACAGTTCCTGACAGATCTCTTGATGACTCAGAGGTAGATCTTAACTCCAAGGGCAGGGTTCTACTCATCACCCATATTCATAAAAGATGAACCAGGCTGGTATAAATGGAAACTTGCCCAGGGCTTCACTGGGCATTTTAAACACATTAACCCCTTCTGGAAAAGAAACCTGTGCTGAGAAAACACGTAAGCCCACAGGTGTGTGCAGTTACTATACTGGCAACACATTACCTGTACAAGCTGCTCGGTGTGCTGGTGAAGCTCCTCTAAAATAGGGAGTGTCTGGTCAGGGAGACAGTGCTCCAGGATCCTCTGGATCACTCGGCAGCCATAAGGATGCGTGGACAAAGCAAACACCTAGGGCAGACCAACACAAACAAGAAAACCAAAATTAACAGTCGCCACTTTCAACACTTCAGAATTATTTATACACATTTTCCCATTAATTTTCCCAATGACCTAGAGAGACAGTCATGATTATTCTTGGTATACAGATGAGAAAACCAAAGTGCCTAAGTTTACATAATGTGCCTCAAGTCTTACAGACAGTAAATGACATAGCCAGGATTTTATTTCCTACTCTGACTCCAAGTCCAAATTATTAAGTATGGCATTTAAGTTCTCTCTGAAAATAATAAGGTGTGTATGGACGAATGAGAATAAACTCTAATTTCTTAAACCCATTCCAGGAATTCATAGATTTATACAAATTCAAAACTAAGAAGGACCTTACCAAAAAGTTTATTTAGAAAGGAACAGAGAATTAATTAAGGTCATAGAAAACACAATTAAAGAGTCCACAGTGTCAAATGATGGCTTTAAAAACAGGAAAAGGGTTTGGACCAAAGCCTGAACATAACCAAAGGATAATGTTCTGAATTGAGCTGGGGTGTTTTCCAGCAAGAAGCAAGAAAGGATTCCTCTTTTGCTGAGTCTGGAACAAGGGGAACGCACAGGCTTCAGATTTAGAGAACCGTCTCAATTCTGCCCTTCCTAGCTGAACGACCTGGACTACCTGCACCTCAAATTTATTGTCAAGAATAATGACAGTAATGGTGAGAACACTTAATACGCTCCCTAGTGCCTCAGATGGTAAAGAATGTGTCTGCCATGAAGGAGACCCAGGTTTGATCCCTGGGCTGGGAAGATCCCCTGGAGAAGGAAGTGGCTACCTACTCCAGTATTCTTGCCTGGAGAATCCCACGGACAGAGGAGCCTAGGGGGCTACAGTTCATGGGTCTTAGATGTTCACCAAGTGTCAGTCACAGTTCTAGGTGTTTTACACACAGCTTCACGTGTACAACTGGACACCTGATACACTGCACTGTTTGCTCAATTCTAGCTTTATAAAAACGGTAAACACTCAGTCTAGAGCAACTTATTTCACTCAACACAGTGATTCAAATATTTACTTATAATACTATGAGCCTCTATCATTTATTCTGTTTATCTATCTGTACAGCATAAAGTTGAGAAAGATTTTGGGGTGGGGTGGGGGGGTCTGATCCTCTCCTGATAGATATCTAGTTTACTTAGTCTTTTCCGATTAGAAGACTAATGCTGCTTTAAACATATCTAAACGTATCTTGTTGAGCTTTAAGCCAACTTTTTCACTCTCCTCTCTCACTTTTACCTGTCACAAGGTGTGGCCAAAAAAACAAAGAAAATGATCGACTATTTGTGGTCTTATTTTGCATTTTCATGATTACTAATGGGGTTACTTTTTCATAGATTTCTTCTGTCTATTCAGGCCTTGAGCCCATTTCTGCATTAACCTGTATTATTCTCTTTGATTTTAAGAGTTCTTTATATATGCTGGTTATCAATTCATTGGCATTTTTCATCTTGAAAATATTCCCTCCCATTTGGTGGCTTAATCTGTTTACTTTTTTGTGTATTTCAAGCACACACACACAAAAAAGCCTTAAACAGAGGTACTCTTTTTTAACTTAACTCAGAAAATCCCAAATAATGCTCAGTTACTGTTTGGGCTTCCCTTGTGGCTCAACTGGTAAAGAATCTGCCTGCAATGCGGGAGACCTGGGTCTGATCTCTGGGTTGGGAAGGGAAAGGCTACCCACTCCAATATTCCGGCCTGGAGAATTCCATGGACTATATAGTCCATGGGGTCGCAAAGAGTCAGACACAACTGAGCGACTTTCACTTTCAGTACTCTACTTAACCACTGTTGTAACTGAGCAAACCGCAAAACCTGAACAACTCTAAAATCCCATTTCAATACAGGCTTTAGCAGTTCACATGACTATACCTGAAACTAGATATTTCCAGTCTCCCCTCCTTTTCAAAAACAACAACAACAAAAGCTGTGGTATGACAAAATATCAACTCTGCTTGGAAGTTGGTGCTAAAAGCACACTGGTTCTTATAATACACAATAAACAGGAGAAATCAGAAGCTAGTTCTGGTTGGGTGCCACTTAACAGAGTTCAAACCAACCTGATCATTGCCCCATCCAATGCCCCAAAATTAAGAAGCACCTTGGTGTTTTCTTGAGATTTGGGGGGGCAGGGGGTAAGGGGGGAGGGGAAGGGTTGGTGGATATGTAGGACCTCAGTCAACCCCTGCGTTAGAAATGCAGAGTCTTCACCACTGGACCACCAGGGAAGTCCCACACTTGTTAAAGATACAGTCACACATAACCTGTAAGACTGGTTTTGTAAATCATCTAAATTTTAAAACATGATAAAAACTTTTAAATATCAAGATAAACAGTACTCAACCAAATGAAAAAACTTACTCGTCAAATATAAGACTTAACAACTCTGATGATAGTATTTCATCCTGACATGATCTTCCTGCTTTAATGATGGAGAGAAGATCCATGGACAATTAAGGGAAGAGCTGGGGTGCACAGAGCTAATACCAAGTAACACTAAAGAGGACTGCTACTTACTGCAGTCTAAAACGCACCAAGCCCTTCAAAACACTCCCATTGTGCTCTCCGCTCACAATGGAAACACCCATCAATTTGTTTCCCTTTTTTCTTTACTAAGTCACTTACCTGCCCCTTAAACGCATCGATGATAAACTGCAGAGACTGGGGCTGCACACATTCGATGCACTTCTGCACCACGTGATTGCCATTCTGGTCTTTCACACACTTGAGGACGTGGCCATCCAGTTCCCGAACCATTTCATTCTAGTTGAGACAAAGAAAGAAAGCACCACCAGAATCACAGAGAGCAAACACCTGGACAGTCAACGTTCTCCTTACCAAACACAAAAGCACGGAGCAGGGTCCATGACAATGAAAGTGGGACAACTCAGCTGTGGCACTCAAGACAACCTTGATAACAAACGAGGACTGGAGTTTTCCCACATGATAGGAAATTTCCTATAATAACAACCAGTCTTAAGTTCTCTAACTTGCAAAAGACCGCTTGGAAATTCCAAAAAAATGCAGTCAACTTCAAATAGAAAGGAGCCGCTATTAAATCAACTATATTGTATTAGAGACTATCACATACAATTCACCATTTGTCACCATGACAAGCCTGTAAAGTACCTATCAATAAAAATGACAGTAGTTAATCTAGAGCTGACTCTAGCTAGGCAGACCTCTTAAGTGTTTATCATGATCTGACTTACTAATCTGCCTGACAATCCTCTGCAGTGACCACTATTACAGATGAATAAATCAAGGCAGAGAAAAATTAGCTGACTTGTTAAAAAATCATAGACCCGGACTTGCCCCAATTCAAACTCAAGTAATCTGACTCCCGTGTGTGGCGATACAGATGTCAGCAAATGACTAGTCGATTAAATATTACCCTGCACACTCTTCTCCACCCATATATATGAATATATGAACATACTGAGTCTGAGAAGGGTTAAAACTATAGACAGTGACTGAATCAGAACTCTAGCCTGAGTCTGTGACTCCAACATGATCTTTCTACCAGGTCAGACTGACTGCATAATCAGCTGGAATAGTACTCTCAGTTAATGAAAAGTGTCCAAAGTCAGGGAAAAATACAGGACAAGACTAGACACTATGTGGGTATGTATGTGTGTGGGGGGGTGACAAGGGTACCGAAAAAGAGCCACTGGGATTTTTATTGGATCTCCTCCCCAAACTCGCTGACTCACGTCTCCTTAAGCTGAATACCTGCACAACAGCTTGGCCCTGGTACTTTCTGCCCAATTTCTTTGCTGTATACAATCTCTATATATTAGCTACATGGTGCTGACTCTATATTTATGGTGTGGGAAAAGAGAGCAAACCAGTTTAAGATGGTGACATTTATCAATACAACTGTCTTAAATCCTTGAGATGTTAAGCATGTAAAAGCACTAAAAGATTTTCTAATTAAAGAAATTCAAGATTACACAGCCAGGGACTAAACAAGCAATAGATTCAGGACAGTTTGCTGAAGCAATTAATCAATGTCAGAAAAGAATAACTTATGGAAACATAATTATGAGAATGAAAAAGTTCCATGTTCAAAAGAAACAAGAAAATTAACAAAGGAAGATTCAGTCATCAAATTGTCAGCCTGGAACATTCCAGGGAAAATTAAAACTGATAACAATTTGAACATTAGGAGAAAACAAACCAGTAGCCTCACCCCTGCTTCTAATCACTTACACACAAATCCTCTTCTTACCGCTGTAGCTCCTGTGCTGGGCACTGAATGGAATGAATTCCCAACCTGCTGTGTGTCTCCAACACCCCCTCCACCTTCACCAGCATCTTGACAGGCCCATCTGAGTCTCACAGCTTAAGGACTCTGGACTCCCCAGCCCTCAGCTGCCATCGCCAACACCAGCACGGTGTTTGGTTCTGACCTGGAGGTGGTGGGGACCTTGTCTGGCTCAGAACTTGAGTCCATAGTAAAGATTCTCATTACCGAACTCTGTTCTCAGAGAGGGCAAGTGGCTCATCACTGCCAGACCACGGGCACCCCTCCATCGAGAACGGCTGGGTGAATTCAGAGCCCAAAGGCTGAGGGTTCAGACGGGCAGCACCCGAGGCACGAGGCACTGCCTCCCGCAGACACAGTGCGGCCCGCACGCCTGCCTGGGGGCTGGCTGGACTCCCCGGCCCCGTGGTCTGTGTGGGGCCGGCGGCACCTCCTCCACGACCGCTCTGAGGCCGTGAGCCTCCTCACGCGCTTTCTGGGTCAGCTCCCACTCACGGCACACAACGCCTCAGATTTCTGTCCCTTTCTCCCCTCTACCTCCTCTGTAGCCTGGACTTCTCCTACAAAGCCTCCCCTCAGAGGCGTGAGCTCAGGCGCTCACGTCGCCCTTCCCACATGTGCTCTGTGGGCAGTGCTCAGCCTCAGCCATCTCTGTGCTGGCGACTGGCACACGGTGGGCGCCAGATCAGCGTGCCAGACCAGGTGCGGCCTCAGGCAGGAGCTCGTTCAGCAAACGGTGGAATGGAAGAGTAAGAGGGTGCAAGTGAAGAAAACTAGGCTTAAGCTGGAAAAAGTTTTGTTTGTTGGGGTCAGTTCGGGTACAAGAAATTGACAACTTTACGTTCTTCACCTCTTGCCAAAGGAAAAACCCACCTCTAAAATCCCATCTACTAAAGACTTAATTCTAGTCAAAGGGGAAAATGTTTGAAACCACTGGTTTTAACACAAGACACTTGATCCACTATAAATTTACAAAATTAACTGCACAATTCATGCTTGCCATGCACAGAGGGAAGCCACAAGCACCAAAGAAAACACTGAGAGAAAACTAAAGACTGACAAACGCGCAAGGTTCACCACATGCACCACGAAGAAACACCAAACACCGAGAGAAAGTTAAAGGGGAAACTTACAATTACCTGCTGGTCTGAGGGAATAAACTCAAGAGCTTTCTGGATAACACGGCAGCCATACATCTGCAGTGCCAATGACAGGACGTGGCCTCGAATCCGTTCAGCCAAAGCCAGCTTCTGTTCAAGGCTGCCAAACTAGACATAATGTGTGGGTGAACACCATTACTTAGGTAGAAAGAAAGAAACCAGAGAAAGCAAAGCATTTATTATTCTGTATCAACCACTGGCATACCTCTTTTAGCCCTGTCATCTGTGATTAACTAAACCTTTTGTTTATAAAACCTTTGTTTCTTCAAGGCAGTGCTTATCAGAATCTGATTAAGAGGAACTCTTTTTAATGTTAAAAACATAAAAACACTTCTCAGATATCCAACTGTAGTAGTTTCTGCTAAACAAATACGCAATTCCTCAAAGATGCCCTTAACTCATCAATACTATTAAATACACCTATATGCCATTAATTACAAGAGCATTTACATTTATTCTAAAAACAACAGTACATGTGGAAGACACTGTTTATTACTAAGGCTTCAGACAATGTCTGAGGGATATTTAAGGATTTCTTGCAGCAAACCTATATCACTTTAGGTGTCTGAGTCTGTAAGTTGAAATGAAAGAACTGAAGTTCTTTCATCTTTGTGAAGTTTAAGTCAAAGCACACATGCACACTCTCTTTTGAATATACTGTTCTATACTACTATAAGAAATGATAATGTCTATTTTTACAAGTCAACAGGATCAGGGGGAAAGTTAGTAAAAGTGAGGGGTATGACTGCACAATGTTAAGTCTTCCTAGAATGTTTTTCCATCCTTGTTTTTTTATTTTCATTTGAATAGCATATGAGACTGATAAGAGACTTTATGAATAAGGATGCCCAACCCACTCATTTTTCAAACAAGGGAACTCAAGTCCATTCTCTAAGTCAGAGAAGTTCTCCAACTTGTCCCAAATCGTACTGCTATAATCAACTGTTCATTTGGCCAGCCTAGCTGCATTAACCTCTGGAGTTGGGAGAGCCCTATATTTTTATATATATGTGACAAAAATGGCAGTGAAAAGGTATCTGACAGTCAAAATTATAAGAGTCATGTTTAGGTTGATTCCTCAATTCACAGCTAGAGAATTCAAAGTCAAAGAACTTAGATCTTGATAAGAAAAGTTGAGAAGATGAAGACTGTGAATGAGCCCTTTTTTAAAAATCTTTACACAAACCAAAAAAATAAGATGTAAGAATTTAGATTACAAATTTCTCTTGTTGAGGGACAGATAATGTGCCGAGTTGTCACATTTTACTCCTGTACCAGATGTTTCATCTCAATGTTTCACTCCTTTCTGGATTTATAATAGGGTTATGGATACCACGGCTCTGTAGTACATCACAGCTACAATGGTCAGTCAAAAAAAAAAAATCTGTGCCTTTCTGCCATTTTAGTTTAGAAGAGGAAATAGACATTAATCCAACAATCTCACCGATCCTTTCCAAAGACAATGATCACAAGAGTAGACATTATCCACATTAACAGGGGAATAATAAGGAACCAAGGCTGAAGGATCACCCATGTATCAATCCTCATGACTGTGGTTTATGATGAAAAACACTAGAGCTGGTGTTCAAAGATAATTCTCCAGGAAACCATTTTTTAAATTTCTTTTTCAGAACTTTCTTGTGGTCCTGCTAAAATTATCTGACACAAATTTTTTCCTCCAAACATGACACTTTCAGTGAAACTAATTTGGCAATCAGAAATATTGTGCTGGATCCTAAATGAAGAGAGTGGTTCTACAAACACGTTTCTCAAATACAGTATCATTATCTGCTTGGGTATTTAAATGATGCACTTCTGCTAACAAACTGAAGAAACATTTAATCGTGCTTCAAAAAGACCACTCACACTTCATTTTAAGGACTGGAATGAAATTGCAATTCTAAAAACAGCTAATGAAAATCAAAATGCTGTGTAGATTCTCTAAAGGCAAAAGACAGAAAGAACAAAGGCTTACTTCAAAGAACTTCTGAATGACATAATTTCCAAATACATCCACCATCAGCTGGTAAGCGGCCTGCAGGATTTCATTGAAGACAAGTTGGCGTTCGGCTGGTGTGGCACGCTCAAGTTTCAGCTGAATGAATCTGAAATACAAAGTGAAAAGAGCAATCACAGCATTTTAGGAAGACTTGGAAAATATCTAAAGACTAGCTCAATTTATGTAATTTTTCAGTTCTGAAACTATATGTATTTGTGTGCATATGCATTTACACACACACACACAACTGTTAAATAAATCACTTGAGCTCACTTACTTGAAGAATTACTGAAAAGGAAAAAACAAGTTATACTGTGAAGTATTCCCTATTTTAACCAAGCATTTAAAAGTATATTTAAGTTTCAGTATATGTCATTACAACAGGACATGTATTTATTTATTTCCATGTGGGATGGAGGGAAGAGATGAAAAGTGGGGCAGAAAAAAGAGAGAAGGTGAAGGCAAGAGGCACAACACCAGGAGAACTTGGCCAGACGTTTTCTCTTAGAAACCAGTCCCACATCAATAAACTTAAAAGCCCATGGTCCCTATTTTAGTCTCCAACACACACCCATATGAAGTGCACACGCAGTGCGTGTTCATTAACAGTGTAGGACAGCAGTCATCTATGTGCAGTATCTTTCTAAAGAAGCAGCTACTCAGTTGGCCTTTTTTAGCTCAGGAGACTGTATTTAAAAAACCATGTTTTTCTCTTAATCTGGACTTTAGGATTTAAATATGAAAAATCCTTGCCCAGTAGCAAGCTGGTAGAACTTAAAGAGGAGGCAAGTTCTTTGGGAGTTGTTCTAAAGGAACCATCAGAGAGAAAGAAAAAGGGAGAGAAGGCTGGATGATGTCACCATAACTCTCCCTTTTCCTGAGGACCAAGGTCCCTTTCTGTGAAGTCCACTGGAACAGGGACGGGTAACCAAAGCTAAATAATAGCATTTTCTAACCTCTCTGCAGACGTTTACTTCTACAGAAGGGAACAACACGGGAAAGTGGTGGCAACATCTTATTCCTAAGCCCAAGGATCCAAATTTGCAACTAAGCAGTGTCTCTTTGAGAGAAAGATTCTTAACAGTGATTAAAGTAGCAAGTATTGTACACAAATCTTTGTGTTACTATTTCTGCTTTTCTTGAACTGTAGACATTCTATGAGGTTCTCATGAACAAATGAACACCAGGCTAATCTTTCAGAAAGGTAAAAAGGGTTGTTTCAGCATGTGATCCAGATTATTGTTGTTCATTCAGTTCGCTCAGTCGTGTCCGACTCTGAGACCCCATGGACTACAGCATGCCAGGCTTCCCTATCCTTCACCATCTCCCAGAGCTTGCTCTAACTCATGTCCATCAAGTCAATGATGCTATCCAACCACCTCATCCTCTGCCGTCCCCTTCTCCTCCTGCCTCTCATCTTTCCCAGCATCAGCGTCTTTTCTAAAAAGTGTTTTCGTATCAGGTGGCCGATGTATTGGAACTTCAGTTTCAGCATCAGTCCTTCTAATGAATATTCAAGATTGATTTCCTTTAGGATTGACAGGTTTGATCTCCTTGCAGTCCAAGGGAAGGACTCTCAAGGGTCTTCTCCAACATCATAGTTCAAAACCATCAATTCTTTGGGGCTCAGCTTTCTTTATGGTCCAACTCTCACAGACATGACTACTGGGACTATAGTCACAGCTGTGACTATAGGGACCTTTCTTAGCAAAGGAATGTCTCTGCTTTTTAATATGCTGTCTAGGGTTTGTCATAGTTTTTCTTCCATGGAGCAAGCGTCTTTTAATTTCATGGCTGCAGCTGCCATCTGCAGTGATTTTGGAGCCCAAGAAAATAAAGCCTTGTCACTGCTCCCATTGTTTCCCCATCTATTTGCCATGAAGTGATGGGACCGGATGCAATGATCTTCATTCTTTGAATACTGAGTTCTAAGCCAGCTTTTTCACTCTCTTCTTTCACTTTCATCAAGAGGCTCTTCAGTTCCTCTTTGCTTTCTGCCATAAGGGTGGTGTCATCTGCATATCTGAGGTTGCTGATATTTCTCCCAGCAATCCTGATTCCAGCTTTTGTTTTATCCATCCTGGCATTTCGTGAGATGTACTCTGCATCTAAGGTAAATAAGCAGGGTGACAATGTACAGCCCTGATGTGCTCCTTTCCCAATTTTGAACCAGTCTGTTGTTCCATGTCCGTTTCTAACTGTTGCTTCTTGACCTGCATACAGGCAGGTAAGGGTGGTCTGGTATTCCCATCTCTTTAAGAACTTTCCACAGTTGTTGTGATCCAGATGACTAAATGGCTATTGTCAATCACTTTGTATTTGATGGCTCTCATAGCCTCTAAAATAAATAATAGGAAGTATACCAAAAGGCAAATTTTGTTTCATTAATTTTATAGCAATTTCCTTAGTGTATACCTTATCTGAGGCATGGAATTTAAGGCATTAAGATTTCGGTTACCTTAAGTGCCAAAGCCAAGTCCTCACCTGGAACCATGCTGGTCTTGGGAAAACTCCATTATGTGCCCAGCAATCTCCCGCAATTGTAAATTGGGATATCGGTTATTTCGAAAATCTTCCAAAAGCCTGCTCCTGCCAGAGGGCATGACATCAGACATTCCGTATCGCAAACGGGAGGAGGAAAAAAGGGTGCTGCTGGGGCTGAAGAGGCTGGAGGCACTGCTTGCGCTGCGGTACTTGGCTTCAGCGCCTGGAGCAGCAGAGATGTATCTTCCACTGCCATTTGTGAGTCCTCCTGTTGGTTACAGAACAGGAGAACTCAAGACTCATTCTTAAGGAACTTTGTTCAAGAGAAGAAAAAGCATCCCATACATGAAATCTTGTATCACCTCTGATTTCTTTTCAAATCTGTTGCTTTTGTGTTAAGACTCAATTCTATTAGTGCCATGATTTTTAGAAGGCCAACTCACTAAGTTGGAAGAAAACTTTTGCACAAAAATTAAGAGGAGATTGCTATTAAACACTGATAGGAGACTGCTAGCAATAATGGAGCAAGGGTTAGTGAGTCCCTTCATAATAAGTGAAATGAGGAGGAACGTTCCTGCTGTGTGAACCAGGATCAGAAAAGACAAAATGCACAGAGACGAGAATGGTTTTCCACTCTCATCTCTGTGGAGATTCCTGCCATCAGTGAATAATCCCCACTCCCATCTGAAACCCTTCCTTTAAAAAAAAAAAAATGGGGTACCCAGGTTAGTCTGCTTTATATAGTGTCCCCCAAAAAAGTTTGAAGGCATAGTTTTGCCAGTAAATACAAGTATGAAAAATCACTAAGGCAATGCAGGCCAACGATTAGACATAAAGGATAAAAAAAAAAAAAAAAAAGGATATATGCTTTGAAATGGAAGGCTTTCAAGTTCTTCATCAGGAATGGGCAGCATCTAACTCCTACTGGAACAGAGCCTGAAGTAATTGCAGTAGCAACAATTTTCAGGCCACTAATACTGCCATCTTGACTGCTGACAAGGGAATAATCACTGAATCCCCAGACAGAAAAAATAAGAGGGAAGACTGAAAAGCCTATCAAAAGGTAAAACAGAATTTTAAAAATTATGAGTATCTATTTTCTTTGGTTTTTTATGATACTGTTTTTTTTTTAACTTTAGATTGTACTATAAAAAGGACGTGAAGTCTTTTTTTTTTTTTTGGTTCTTCCCCCATTCCTACATTGCAAAGTAGGTAAGAAATGCCATTTAAACCACAAAGAGAGCAGATGAGTAACAATCCAGGAACCATGAGAGAAGTCACCCAACATGAACTGCCTGTTAACTAGAGTTTTAATGACAGTCTGGTATGGAGTTCAGTGGTAGCTACAAAAGGATACTCAACTTGGATTTCTCCACAGAATTCTAGGGCCCAGTTTCAAGGTCTGGGTCTCAATGAAAACTGTGGAACCAAAGGAAATGGCTCACATTTTTAAATAATTAAATAAAGACTACTTACTGAGCATCTGTCCTATGCCAGCCTCTCTATGCTAGCAATATTTCATATCCACTTTCTATCAAATTCTTACTGGCATTACGGAAAAGGGAGTTTTCAAAATCCCATATAAGTAACAAAATTAAGGCCCAAAGATATGAAATGCCTCTCCATAGATACAAAACTCAAATTCACCATGGCCAGAATTTATCACAGAACTCTTAACTCCAGAGTTACAGCTTTGCAACCAACCACATGATTCTCCTTTTCAGATACAGTTATACAGTTTTCGTTTTCTAAAGGACATTGTTATTCTTGTCAAAATTCCATAATATTTCTTAACCCAAAAGGAAAACATTTCTTTCAGCAAAGGAAGACAGGAGGCTCGTAAGAAAAAAGAACAGTAGCCATATGGCTGCTTTTTATCCCATTTCAAAAATAATTCTTTTTTCCCCAGTCTGAGAAAGGAGACAAACAGGCAAAGAGGAAGTAATCAGACAGGTCAGCAGCACTGGAAGAATGTGATAATACCAAGTAAGGTGGTGAAGAAGAAGGGATGGCATGAATACACAAGGTTTTGAAACAACTCAAAGGTATTTTAAGAACCTGGTCACTAACAAAGGCACTTACTGAAAAGTAACAAATCAACAAAAAAACAACCAAACTCCTAAAAGGCCTGAGAAACATCCAAATTCACATGGAAGGAAGCCAGATCCTTGGTTTCAAGGCTGAATTGCGGGAACCAACCCTAAGCACTGCCCTACTTCTATACTTCAGTTACACAAGCCAGCAAATGCACTTATTGTTTAAGCCATTATCAGTTGGATTTTCTGTTACTGGGGCTAAGAGCACACTGACTAGTCCATAACATAAAGGGTTGGAGTGAATAAATGGGCAGATTGACACATCTGCCCTGAAGTTTTGATTTTTGGCTCTGGTATCCTTGGATGCCAGACAGGATATACAAGCACACATATATATACACACAGCTGTTATTATTGAGAAAGGAAGTATACAAATCTGAAAAAAAAAGTTTCTCCAGGTATTATAATATAAATGGCAAACTAACAGTTAATAGGAATATTCTGCTCAGGCCAAATAATTTTCTTTAAACATTAAGCCAGTGGTTAAAATTTCTGCTTAAAAAATGTGGTTTCCTGTTGTTTTTGAAAAGGTACCTGGCAAAAAGCAGACCATCATTACTTGTTGATTGCAGTTTCTTTATAGATACATAAAGGTGTTTTCTAGTTCACCATAGTTTACACACCTACATACACTTATGCCCAAACTTTCATCCCTTGGAGGTGACCTCTCAGGGTGTTTAACACCTGTTTTAAAAAGAACATTTCATTCAGGCCCTCTAAGGGAGCCTCCTAATGATTCCACAAAGTTTTCAGCAGTATTTTGATGGTGGTGGGTTTCATAGAGCTGTGTCCTATGACATTTCTACAGAGATCAACAGCTTAAATGTTTTGTGTATGTGTAGGTTTCCTGCTTCACATGTAAAGAATGTGTAAAGTCACCACTTCACCCTAACAACAAACAAAAAACTAAACAGCCTGAAAAATCAAAAATTCTTCTTGGATCCATAAAAGAGGGGAAAATAGACAAAACCACTGCCACCAAGATCAGAGAAACAGATATACAGGTCATCACAGCTAACCTGACACCAGACTCAAATAGACACACTGCCCAAACCAGTACCAGACTAGAAAATCCTGAACTGTAACCAACAAACTATCAAGTGTTGACAACCCTAAAATATGCAACTCTAGCCTACTCAAACTATCTTGTCTCAATGAAGGGAGAAGGAAAAAAACTAAGAAACACTTGTGAAGTTGACGGTCCAGAGATATAGGTTCACTAACAGAGTGAGACCTAATCATAAGTCTATAGAACACTTTCCCTTCCCTCACACTTCATCATCACGTTATTAAAAACCTATTCATGGCATTTTCTTTCACTTGATATATCAGGCATGGCTATCAAGGCAGAGCAAAAGGCAAAAAAAAATAAAATCTGAAGAGTAAGAGCACACATCAGAAACATATATGACAGGGATACTAAAATTTTCAGAATGGGAATTTAAAACAATTATGATTAATATGCAAAGGGCCCTAAAATATACAGCATGCAGGAAGAGATGGGCAATGTAAGCAGAGAGATGGAAATCCTGAGAAAGAACCAAAAAGAAATGCTAGAGATAAAAAAAATATTGTAACCAAAATGAAGAACACCTTTGATGGGTTTATTAGACTGAATACAGATGAGGAAAGAATCTCTAAGCTAGAGGATCTATTAATAGAACCCTCAAAAATCAAAATAGAAAGAGAACAAAGACTCAAACAGAACAGAATATCCAAGGATTGTGGGGCAACCACAAAAACTGGAACATACACAGAGTGGGGATATCAGAAGGAGAAGAAAGAAAGGAACAGGGGGAATATCTGAATCAATAATGACTAAGGATTATCTAAATCAATGTCAGATAGCAAACTGCAGATCCAGGAAGCACAGGGAACACCAAGCAGGAAAAGAAAGCAAAAAAATTATACCGCCTAACTATCAAAGTACATAAAATCAAAGATAAAGAAAAAATACTGAAAGAAGCCACAGGAGGAAAAAAGTCTTACAGAGGAGCAAAGGTAAGAATTACATCTGACTTCTCCTCAAAAAGCATGCAAGCCAGAAGAGAGAAGAGTTTAAGTTCTGAAGGAAAGAAACCCACCAACCTAGAATTCTGTATCCTACAAAATCATCCTTCACAAGTGAAGGAGAAATAAACTTTCTCAGCAAACAAAAACTGATGGAATTTGTTGCCAACAGATATGCCTTGCAACAAATGTCAAAAGCGTTCTTCAGAAAGAAGTATAAATAACACAGGCCACAAACTGATCCATATAAAGAAAGGAGGAACCTCGAAAAAAGAATAAAGAGAAAATTTTCTCTTATTCTTAATTGATCTGACAGACAACAGTTTGCTCCAATAATAGCAACAATGTATTCAATTATGCACACTTACGTCTATATCATATACATATATACACACATATGCTTTTTATACAGCTGAAATGAATGACAGTAATTACACAAGGGATAGCAGATAAAGGTTAAGATTATTCTGTGATTATAAAGTCCTTTTATGGCTTTATTTGAAAGTGGACCTCAGTTAACTGTAAATGTATAGTGATCCTAGTCAAACCACTGAAAAAGTTGGAAGAAAAAGAAAGGTAGTCATCTAACTGACAGGCTAAGAAAGGAAATAAAATGAAATCATAAAAAATGCTCAATTAAAACCACAAGAGGCAGGGACTTCCTGGTGGTCCAGTGGCTAAGATTCCACACTCCCAATGCAGGGTGCTCGGGTTCGACCCCTAGTCAGGGAACTAGATCCCACATGCCACAACTAAAGACTCCATGCAGCCAAATAAATTTTTTTTTTAAACCCACAAATGGCAGAAAAAGAATGAAAGACATAGAAACAAAAAATAGAAAACAACAAATATGGTAAACATTAATCCAACTATATCAATAATCACTTTGTCAATGATCTAAATGTACCAATTAAAGAGACTGTCAGAGTGGGTCAGAAAATGTAATTCAACATATGCTGTCTACAAGAAGCTAACTTTAAAAATACACACATACAAATTAAAAGTACCATGCTAATTAAGAAGTGCTTCAGTTACTTTATCCAAAGGGTTTTCTAGTATTCCAGACATCTAGGATCCCATCCTCTTGCTACGTGGAATGTTTTTATTCATCTGGTTTTGTTTTCTGTACTCAGAGATTTAGTAGATGACTAATGGGCAAAAC